ATACAACAAAATAGAACAGTCACATTTAAAAAGAATCCACCTAAATTGCACAACCCCCAAATATTCAAATACCCTTATAAATTATTAGTCTCAAAGCAATTATTTATTACCACCTATAAAAAAAATTATAATTAATTTCTGAACATTACCAAAATATATAAATATTTATTAAAACATTACATTTATTTATTGAATTATTACATTATTGAAAATTAATTGGCAAGACACAGATGGATAAGCAACAGTAAAGGTACTGAATATCATTATTAATAGTTGGTTGGTACCAATTACTTTTAAAATGACATTTGAGGAAGACTGCTTTTAAAACACCTAATTAGATATCTGTCACATGATATGTAGAATTAATATCATGTGACACTGGGTATCCATTTTGTACATTTTCATGTAATTTAGTTCAGTTAGTTTTGTACAATTACACATACCCACCCTAATAAAATGTTTTAATTTGATGAAAAGACAGACTGTTCCATTCAGAAGAAAGGTAGACCTAATTCTACTTTAAATCTATTTTATTTTTATTACATAGCACATGTTATATTTTGCAATGAACAGAATATTTTCCATTCAACTCAGCTCTGCCTTAAATAGAACAGTCTATCTTTAAAAGTATTCTTACCTTTGCACTCATAAACATTCATTATTTTGAATACAATTTATATTGTCATAGTAGTGCACTTACCCAGAGTTCGGGATATGAGATGCTTCTCCATAGCTAAAATTAACAAGGTCAGCTTTTGCTCGTGATACTTCAATCATCTATCAAAAACATACAAATTATTGCAAATATATGAAGGGAATCAGTGTAGTAATTTTTCAATGAACAATTTAATGTGAATATTTATAACAAGTTTGAAAGAAAAACATTAAAAAGTAAGGCAAATTTGTCTATGTATATCACTATTGATGATTAAAAATAAAATATCAATATATAACCTACTCCTTACTTAAAAAAAAAAAAATTCACTGTGTATGAGCAGCACAATTGTTTTTTTTTTTTAATTAAATTTATTACAAAGTACTGTATAGTAATTGCAAGAATAATAAGGTCGTCTCTTGGATTTTGTCATTTTTGAGACAGCTGTAAACAATCTGTCAGTCCTTTATATTAAACTGATCTATCACTGTTGAATGACTACTGAGCAATCAGCACATGTCTAGTAAAGAGGTCGAGTTACAGCAGAAAAAAAAAACACCAATAATTTCCCAAAGAGATCAGAAATTCTTAAGAATTCAAAACCAAACAAATATTTTCCTTTCATTCATAATTTGAAATGCCATAGAATATTTTGTGCTATATAATGTGTAAATATTTATGTAGGCCATCTATAATTTACTTACCTTACAATTACTATTAATATTATTATCATTATATATTAGTAAAATTTAAAATTAGCAAATTTATTGATTGTGTTGAGCTATGAACACATAACAAAATAAAATTTAACAATTTAAATGCTAAATTTATTAAATGTTTCCTTCCCAATTAAAACATGCATAGAATTACAGATCCTTATTATTTTTCTGACTAAAGCAATGTTTCTGATGTGTGCTATACAATGGTATATTTATAGGCCTATAGGTCATCTGTAATGTATTTACGACTGTTGTAGCATTACACATTCTGCTCCCATAGATTGTTGCTACTGCATTTAATGAATCCAAATATTGTTAATCATTAAGGAAGCAATACAGATAAAAATAGGCACAAACACCATGAACAAAAATAAAAGTGCTTACAACTTCCCTACATCTTTGCTGATATAAATCATGGCAGCAGTTCACAGAGGAGGCCTGGCAAAATCCTGTTAAAAACACCAATGGGTGGCACTTGTCATCACTAGATGACATCATTATCCAAGAGTGATATACCTGCCAACTTTGTTGGCGTCTGATGCGAGGGAAAAAAATTGTATATAGCGGCCTCTAGCGTATATAGCGTCTACAGCAGCTCTTTACAAGATTGAAATATATACCTTATAGGATGAAAATATCTTTACTAACAAAAGAAAAAAGTATATAATAAACTGCTTACGGCTCGAACCAAAGCACTCCCTGTCTCCATTGAACCGAGTCGTGAGTCACCTATTTTGAGGGCTAGTATCTGAGCTCCTGGGGCAAGTCCATTCTTATCTGGTTCATCAGGAAAGTGGGCAGCAGCAATACTTGCCACATGAGTTCCATGCGAACAAGCGTTGGTTACGATAGACAACATATTTCCTTCTTCATATATATTCACTGAATAATTTAACATATCTACAAAAATTTAAACAAAAAACATAAAATTAAAATCATTATGTAAAAAATCAATAACTAATTATGAAATGATTACAGAAACTTTAGAAATTTTTTAATATTATATTTTCTTATTTCCTCATATTTCTTTATATACACATTCACATTTTTTCTATATTATTACTGTACTTTCTAAAATTTCTCCATACTTCTTTCTTATATTTGAATTTATTTCTTTCTATATTTTCCATACTTTTTTCATTTGTCTCTTATGGTTACAGTACAGTAGAACCTCGATTTTACGTACGGCATGGGACCAGAGGGCATATGTAAATCGGGGTATTAGTAAAATAGAGGTTGGGTTAAATTTGTGGTAACCTTTGACCTAATACGTACGTAACGCTCAATATACGTACGTATGAACGAACGATGTTACATAGCTAGGCTAGACCTAGCCTCTAGACCTATGAATAAAACCATGTGTTTAGTGTTTTTATTCATCACTTTACGATGTCATAATAAAGTGTTCAAATAAAACCATGTGTCTAGTGTATTAATTCATCACTTTATATCTTTTATTTAACTAAAGAACATGAAAATATTGTAAGATTACCTATACGACAAAGGTATAACTTGGGAATTCCCTTCATGCCTATTCAAATCTGGGCCTGTTGAGACAAACTAAACCCATGTGCACTGGGCGAGCCAACCATTAGCGTTCGTGTACGTGAAACAGCAAAAATGTGCACTGCACTTGGCGAGCCAACCAATTAGCATTCGTGTACGAAACTATACCTACTCAGCTTCGTGTGAAAATTCGACCAGACAAGTTTTTCCATGGTTTGCCACACGAAGCTGAGGAGGAAAGCAATAATTTTGAGCACCATCGGTAGTTGTTCATTTCACTCAGTTCATGTGGTTTTAGATTATAACAACCCCGTATTAGACTCAATCAACGTTGCTGTTTAATGAAAATATGCATTATGGTTTGTTTATTGTTATAGTTTATTGTCTTTTTACTTAGGGTTGCTCTGAAAAGGGCCATCTGTTTTGAATATTTTTGGGGTTTTTGATGACGTCATCGTCGATACGAGGTGTACGTAAAACCGAGGGTTCGTATAACTGGGGTACGTAAAAACGAGGTTCTACTGTATTGGTTTCTTAATTTCTTTTGATATTTCTATTTTTGTTTTTTCTCATTTTTCCTCTTACCTGCATTTGAGAAGGTTGAATACTGCTGGTTCTCTTTGAATGAACTTAGTAATGATGATGCACCTAAGTTTCCAACTTCACTTGTGTCTACACAAGCTCTGAAAATTAGCATTCAAACATATAGAAATTTAGCAAACATAAACAACAAATCTGTAGTTCATTCTCATTACTAATGCTATGCAAACTATTACCTTATTCATCAAGAGAGACGGATAGCTCAGTCGAATAAATGTGTGATAACCAATTAAGTGTGCACTAAACTGTCAAGTCCCTAGGGTCCCTGGATTGGTTTCATCAATGCTCTCAGCTAGTTCAGATAGAAGACTGCAAGCTGTTAACCCATTACTCTAAATTCTAAATAGTTAAATCTTAAATATTTAGAGGAGAATTAAGGTTTCAGAGAAGAATCAGTAGGTATATTATTGACTGACAGAGCAAACAATAACAATTATCAAAATGTCAAACCCTAGTATAGAAGTTAAACTTTGAACTCTGCACCCAAAAGCCCTTCCCAAATACTCAACTTTATAACACAGACTTACTTCCATGTGTTCCCATCGTGAAATGCAATGCAATCAAAGACTGGCCCAGGGTCACTGAACTTCTTATCTGAACTGGTCAGGTGATCCAGTAAGCAAGAAAGGTCATCTTTTTCCAGCTTTTCTTCCTACAAAGTAGTGGTAATAACAGTCAAAAAGTAGAAATACTTATACAACTTAGAAGAGCAGGAAATTAAAAAGGCCAGGAACCATCAACAATTTCAATATCAATCTAAAATTTTCAAGGAAGTAAAGAACAGTTCATTTGTATAATTATTTAGGTATGGAAAAAGCGAAAGGAAATTGAGATGACGAATGATTGTAATTTGTATTTATGTTCGTATAGGTTTACAGGATTTAGGATTTCTTCAATGTGATACACAAAAAGGATAAAACACAAAAGTCCTTAACGTGCGCAGAGGCCATTTTGCATGTCTTGATCACAGAATACTATGTGTCAATTATAGGAATTTGTGCTTTGTGTTACGGCAAGGCGAGCGATTTAAAACAAGAGACAAGAAATAGTTTAAATAAACATATTAATTTAAACATTTGTGATAAATTTGGTATTCAAAAAGTCTAAATATATTCAGCACGACTAAAAAAAAAAAACAGGTTTAAAGTTGAGTATACAAGCATAGATAATGCATGGTTGCACACTTGGTGTGCTATTACATTAGTATGAACCAATCAATGACAGTCAAAACTGCAACGGTTATTCTGAAAAGCTGTTAATTGGGTCTTCCAATATTATTTTCACATGATAGATTGTTAATTCAGCCAAAACACAATACACTCAGACCTGACAACTAAATTATTTATTTTCATGAAATGTCATAGATACAGGAACATGAAGATGCACAATAGAAAGAAAGTAATTAAAATTACAGCCAATCAAAAGATAAAAGGGCTCCGGATGTTCAATTTGAAGAAGCATTAAGTGAAGTACAGTATTTTTGCAGAGTTATCACATTCTCCTACCGTACCATGAAAGAACAAAAAATGCACTGCTATAAATGTTGAATATTGTGCATTTTTCCATTAATGTCTTTGTTTTTCCACATATTCTGATGCTAATTTGTATATTTAATTATAACTTAAAATCTTTAGTATTTAATTTAGAATAAGAAGAGTTTTTCTTGTTGTACTATTGTATAAAATTTCTTATATTTTTTATCCCTATATCTAAGAAATTAAAATTGTTTACACGTTTCCTCTTCCTATACTTTTATCTGATTATCCTATCCAAGTTCCTGGTCACTAGCAATGGCAGTTTAAAATAAATATATTCTCATATATTTAGCGCAAATTCTATTGTTCTTTCCACTCATGATTTGCAATTACCAGTGTCATATCACACTCATATTGCAAAATCACTATTTGGCATAACACTAAATACAGTGAACAGTTTTAAATTGGCTACAACTTTTGAATTAAGAATTTTTCCTTATTGTATTATTTTATAAAATGTTTTATATTTTATATAATTATTTTTTACCATTGAATTGTTCATTTTGCATACTTTTACATAATACTTTTTTACATAATTACCTTTAATGTATTATATATGATGCAAAAAATATATAATAAATTATTGTGCAGTATAAGAAAACTTTACATAATGCCCCTTTCACGAATAGAGGATGATTTATAAAAGTTCTAAAATTGTGATCTTCCATAGGGATTCGTACTCAAAACATTCACATTTAATAAAATTTTATGTTTAGTCAAGACGATAGGATGCTGTCAAGATGTATTTCGGCAGTAATGCGATGACACTGCTACAAATTACTGTATAACGATAGAGATACAACGTTAAGACTTGTCGCAACATAATACGAATTACCAAGATTGTATTAATACGTCACTACGATTTTACAAAGACGAAGGCACGACGTCAATACGATTTACCAAGACGCCTATTTGAATTAACTAATCACATTAAAAAAAAGGCACAGTAACAAATATTTGACTGTTGTAGTTGTCGCCATATTTGTTGATATTCAACCATGTTAAAAAACCTACAATATGCAAGCTGCTGCTCTAGGTCTTGTGGCCACTACGAATGCATAAATCGATGTCATGATTGACCACAAAATTTAGTACGCCACTGCCTTTTTAAAAAAAAAAAAAAAAAAAAAATATGTTCAATCGTAGCAAAAATTATGAATATGTGAAAGGGGTATAATGCACATAACAATTAAAGCAAAATGTGTAAACCTGTTTAGTGACTGTTGTATGTGCAGCATCAAAAACATCCTGCTTCCTCATAACTTCTGTCACGGCCTGTCGGTGTCCAGGTTCCCATAGCTTCTGTCGGCGCTCTTTCTATGAAAATAATGTGTTAGTAATTTAGTGAGGTTACAACAATAGGTTACATTTATGGATTTTGTTCACTTCCATTTAACCATACTATCTGTGTTACAATGGTGTAAAATTAGGATTATTGACATGGGTGGGGGTTTAATGGGGGTGCGAAGGTAAGTGGGTGGCTTGATGATTAAATGAGGGGCTATCTGGCTAAATAAAGTGATAAAAGATAGGCTCCCATTTTACTCTTTTTCACTTAAATATTTTATATATTTGTTGTTTGTTGTTTTTTATGTCATTTTATTTACCAAGCATAACAAATAATAATAATAATAATAATAATAATAATAATAATAATAATAATAATAATAAATAATAGTAATAATAATTTTTAAATGATTCACCTGATTGAAAAAAAATATGAATATGACCCATAAAATAAAATAATAATAATAATAATAATAATAATGATAATAATAATAATGGTATATTTATACAGCGCATATTACACATTGCAATCTTGAATCTTGATATGGGGTGATTTTTAACTATTTGCATTTGATTTTTGAACAGCAAATTTCCAGTTGGAGAGGGTGGTATGATGGCTGGAGGTACAATCTTTTCTACAGGTATGTGTGCACCCCCAACCCTCCTGTAGATATGCCACTGCTATGTCAACAGAGCCTAATAAACTTGAAGATTAAAATTTATCATTTTTAGATTTCAATAGATATAGTTGGTAACTGGAGTCATGTGACAACCCTAGTTCCCTCTAGAATTAAAGAGCCGTTCAAATAAAGACCACCATTCGCATCCACCAATGAATGTCATCCACCAATGAATGTCATCCACCAATGAATGTCATCCACCAATGAATGTCATCCACCAATGAATGTCATCCACCAATGAATGTCATCCACCAATGAATGTCATCCACCAATGAATGTCTATGTTTCTAATTAAAGACCAAAGCTGCTATAGACCATGAAATCTCCAGTCTTCAAAAGTGGTCTTTAATTGCAGGGAGACTTGTAGTTGGTGCAAAATTACGATATATAACGAAATGTAGTTCCTTCAGAGGGTTTCTGCTGTAAAGCAATAATGTTTATGTGGTTTTTTAAAACCATAACATTTCCAATATCTATTAAAATTGTTTACATATTTCCTTTTCCTGTACAGTACTTTTATCTGATTAACCTGCATGTTACACCAATTATTAACGTAACATGAACACAAGTTCCTTGTAAATGAAGTCCTCAATTCAGCCTCTGACTGCTATGGACTTTTTGTTTTTATTTTGAATATTTGAATAAAGATACCGAAATATATTACTATTATTATCTCTCATTCAACATGTTCATAGTTAGCCCACGGTAGTCCTACCTGAATGCGCTCCTTCAGGCCCTTTGGATATAGTTTATATGCATTTAGCACACCAATATGATAACTCCCAGATGGATTTTTCCAGTTAGCTGGAATCTGAAAGATAACAAAAATAAATATTTATTATTTGATTTAACTGAGTAACAACACCTAGTCAATATAAAAAGTTATAACAAAATTGCTTGTAAAATCAACTCACAGCAGCCAAAGTACACAAAAAGACAGTTCTCCACTCTTTCAAGATCCATTGTTTGTGTGCACATACTAAAATGCCACAGGACCAACAGCCTAATGGTCATTCAAAAGGACGAGGTAATTTAAGCTAACCAAACCCAACAATTACACTGACATGTCTCTTGAAACTCAAAGTCCAACCCTTACCACTGCACGAACATGCCCTCAAAAGAGAGTAAAAATGGATTGATTATTTTGCAATGTTTTTCTTCAGGTAATCATAAATCATAATCAATCGAAGTAACTTGTATAGTGCCAAATTCCATCACATGAAGTAATGTTCTGTAGCGCTGAATGGCGATGGTATACTTACCGAGTGCACAAAATGGTTAATTTCATAATTAAACAAGTTAAAAAATTTATTTTTCTTCAACAACAACAATAATAATAATAATAATTGTAGTATCAGCATTGTTGATTGCTGTTATTGTGATGGAAATGCTTTGCAGAAAATGTATCATTTTAGTTTCTTTTTTAAAATGGTAACATTTATTGCAGTTTTTATGTGAAGAGGCAGTGTGTTCTATAAAAGAGGAGCTGCACAAGAAAGTGACTGTCTACCATAAGTTTGGAGTTTCCACTTACGAACATGAAGAAGATGTTTAAAGGATCTCAGGTTAGGAGAAGACGTTTGGAGCGGAATGAGATAATAGATATATTGAGGCGCAAGGCCATGCAGAGCATAATATGTGATTAACAGGATTTTATATTGGATGTGTGAGAATCGGAGTATGTGTTGTGAAATCTTAGTTCGGGTGATGAGTCTAGCTGCGGTGTTCTGTGCAAGTTGAAGATGGTGTAGACTTTTTCCTGGAAAACTGAACAGAAGAGCAATCTACATCTACTAAGATACTCGTCAAAGACAGTCAGCATCTGGACGAAGGTGCTCAGCTGCCGATAGACAGCATGTGCCAGTGCAATATTAAGTGCTATGTGCATGCAACTATATACAATTATAACTACCAATTACATGGTCTCAATAGCACCCTAGAACTGCTCTAAAGTACTGTAGGCAGTACTCTACACTGATTTCCTTGGGAAGTGCACCCCAGTCTTGTCGGGTCTAGCAGAAAGAACAGCATGAACAATTTTCTTACAGGATTCGGTTGCATTGTATCTTCTAACATGTCTTATTTTTTGTAGGTGGTAGTGAATTGAACGGCATTACATAACGTTACTTTTGCATTTACTAGACATTGGCCCTGCACATACCAAATAAAGTTTTTATTATTTTTCGATAATAAAACAAAATAAACCATCATGGGTTTTGTTTTCTAAAGGGTTCAAGAATTGCTGCAATCGGTAGTATTGTACTTTGACTAACCGTTAACTTGCGTCCAGTTAGGCCAGTAATTTCACCATCTTTCGCTTCAACCACTGTGGATGTTACTACATCTCCACTACCCGTTGTATCAATGATGTCAACAATTTTAGGCCTTCCATCTGTCGTAACCTGTTGTAAAAAATGGAAACTGCATGCATAAATATTTGAAACATATTGCACAGAATTTAACCCTTTCCAGTCGTATGGCGTTGCGATGACGCCCTCTTTCACCATACTTTATAGCGAGGGATGTCGTACGTACACCCTGTATAGATTTCATAATTTTTTTATAGCTAGCCTGCCCTCTATAGGATTGTTTGAGAGTGATGTAGGAGTATTTCTGCAGAGGGCCTCCTGTATTCAGACCAAATAAAATGCCTGCACCCAGTAAAAACATGACATTTAGTGTAGATGATGTAATTTCTCAGTTTTGGCACAGCATCAGGCAATGGTAACGGGGCAGACTGGAGAGGGTTAATACTGTAACAGAATTTGGTATTTGGTCACCAAGGTAATGGGGAATGGACTAACCCAGATATGAAGCAGGGGTGGCGCCAGGATTTGCCTGACGGGAGGGGCTGAGGTCCCCGACAGGGGTCAGATTTCACCGACAAAAGCAAAGTGGCTGTGGTCGAGCTTCGATTTTAGAGTCTACTAATATATAGAAAATACATATAATTTTTTTTTCTCCTCGACGAATTGTGCTTTTTTTCCCCGACTGGGGGGCCCTGGCCCCCGCGGAATGATCTGTAAGATATAAGTACCAGTTTAAGATTCTATCTATTTTCTGCCCCTGAACTATTGTAATAACGTGAGTCAGGGTGAGTGATCACAATTGTAATTAAATACTGAATCGGACGTACTGAATAAAGAGTTTGGCTCACCGAGAGTGAGAATCTTGAGTTCGTTTATTTGTTATTTACTAAAGTCCAGGGCCAGCAGCTATGGCCAAACCCATGGTCATCCTAACAAGTACTAGGTCCGTTACAATACAAACAATCTCACACTACAGTGTACAGCAGTCAAAAAGAGGCCTAGCCTAGGAATATTCTAATAACATAGAGAATCTGGGTCGAATGTTTTTAGAGCTAGAGCATTCATCACTAGGGCATAGGACTAGGATCATGCCAACTTGAGTAACTTATTTATTTATTTTTATCTAGGCCCTAACAACTACTGTACGCCTACCAAAGTTGGTGCTAATACGGTTTCGCATCCAGCCGTAAAAATAATTACTAATTAGTAATACTTAACAGTTACAATTATTCAATACTAATACATTCCTTGATGATTTGACTTTTTACAAATGCACTTATTATCCAATAATTATGGTTTCTTAATTAAGACGGTTAACGTCTTCGCAGTGCACCATTTTCATACCTGGTTTATACATGCCAACAACTTTGCGGTGTTGCCAGAATCACGAAAAAATTATACCGTGGTTGCCAGATAGGTGTGCGCTGAGTTAAGCGTATCTAGTGGAAGTAGTATGAATGTCACTCAAAATGTTATTCTACTTTTCGCTTTTATTTTTATCTTCATCAAAAAAAATACATACTACAAAGAGATGAAATACAAAACAATACAAGTTACGAAAAATACATACTACAAAGAGACGAACTACAAAAACAATACAAGTTTCCGCAATAATTGGTCACAAAAATTACAATTGGGTACAAATTATATGACAGACGCTGGAAACCTCAACAGTCGTCGACCATGGTGCGGGGGAGTTCCTATCGATATACAGTACAGTACTGTCCTAATTATTGGTTAATTAACTTAATTAGAAACTATAACTATGAAATAATAAGTGGCTAATCTGAAAGACAAATCATCAAAGAACATGTTAGTGTTGAATAATTGAAAGTTATAAATAATTTGGTCACCATTTTCAGGGCTGGATGCGAAACCGTATTAGCGCCCCAAAGTTCCGTAGTCCTAGGCTAGGCCTCCTCGTATCTATTACTGTAGGCCTACTATACTTAGCGAAGGCCTAGGGCCTAGGTCTAGTAGTAGTAGAAGCTGCTTAGGCTAGGCCTAGGTAGAGGCCTGGCCTAGAGGGGCTGAGCTAGGCCATCTAAAAAAAAAAAAAAAACACAAACAAACCCTGGTAGCTAGATACAAAACCGATAGAGGGTGCTATAGATCGGCAATACAAACATTGCGATAGAAAATAGTGCCCCGACGGAGATAGGATATCCGATGTATTAATTGGGTATTTCACGGAAGTATACAACAATTTGACCGAATTACTTCCAGATAACACTCTAGAAATGATTACTGGACCAAGTTATTGGCTTTTTAAGCGCGCGAATTGATTTAGTAGAAGTTTTTTTAGTACAACCAATGATTTTCAATAATAAAAGGAAACCTTCGCTAGTTTTTTGGTTAACATGTTTGCTTTCTTCAGTTTTTAAACTGTAAAGATAAGTAAGTTTTAAATAATATTTGTGAGCATATTAATTGAAATAGATGGCATAAAATTCTATTGTCTTATTACGTACCGCAGCTAGGCTCATACAAATAGAGGGCGCCCTCGTTAATTTGCAGCGGCTACAGACAGGGTAAACAATGTTTTCCCCGCTGGCCACAGTGTTGTCTGACTGAGGCCTGCAATTAGGCCTAGAGTTATGCGATGCAATATAATTTATTATACGTAGAATCTATAAGTTGATAAAAATTATTAAATCTAATATAAATATACATACTAAAGTACTAAATTATAATCGTTAGTAATTGTCAAGTATCATTTTAACATGGCCTAAAATGCTACATAATTACACTGTAAGGGACACACTTCTTGTAAATAAAAACAATACAAAAGGAATTAACTCCAGCAAAAAACATATTTAAAATAGCAATATCTCCGCTAATATTGGTCCGATTTACATAATTTTTGTTTTAAAATGCTTCATTCAGTTATGTCTTTCTATTCAAAATAAATAAAAAAATATTTGGGACATTTCAATTTTTTTTTGTTTCTAGCTAGCTAACCCTGGCCTACTAGTAGGTAGGCCTAGACAACGCCCTAGGACTTTGCCTACATTTCGTAGGGCCCATTCCTAGGCCTCCTAGCCTAGAGGCCGAGGCTAGCTTAGGTTCTCGCCCAGCTTGGCCCCATATGCCTAGGCCTAAGGTAGGCCTAGCTACTTAGTTAGGCCTAGGCCTAGGCCTAGGGCCTAGCCCTAGAAATTGAATCAATTGACATTATAAATATTGTACACACCTGAAGCCCAGCAGCACCAGGATCAACACCTGTATCAAGGATTGCAATAAGTACTCCACGTCCATCATGTTGTGGGTATTTTGACAAAAATGAATAAGCACCCGTTTCTTTTTTTGGTAATAAACCTTGAACAGGGAACTCACTTTTTTCTACGATTGTCGCCATTTTCACTCACCTAATTTCTGATAGAGGGCGCCGGTTTGCGAAAGTCACGTGGTATTCACCGTCCATTTTTGTGTCCATGGGCTTCGATGAACACCAGTGTGACCACTGCTTGGGTATTTACCCAAGACCTTGGGTATTTTGACTTGGTCTTGGGTTCTTGGGTATTCCATTCAAATCCTTGGGTATTTTTTTAACTAAGAAAATTAAATATTTTTGTCAGAGGAAGAATTAAGAAGTAACAAAGTATATTTCAGTCCATTCAAGTAAGCAAAACTCAACGAAGTGCACATAACATTGTTATTAATTGACTGTTAATTGCCCGTAGCCATGGGGGTTTTTAGGGGTTCGGGCGAACCCCCCTTTTGCCAGCGAACCCCCTTAGCCAGAAAACGATCCCCCGTTTCCAAAATAGTGCAATTTATTACAAAATGGGAGAATTTTTGTCGCTATCGATCGTATTCCGATCGTAGAAATCAAAACAAAGCTGCAGCCAGCTGAATGACGTAACCAGCAAGACTTCAAAATGAATGAGAGGTTTGTTGCCTAGTCTATTTAACCAATCGCGTGCTCCGGAGTTTATTTACTTTGGCACGACGTCATCACAAAAGTTTGGGCCTCGACATTTTTCATTTCTCTGGGATCGAGGATATGCGAC